TCTTTTGCAGGGACATGGAAGAAGCTGGAAACCATCATTCTCAGCAAACTAACACAAGAACAGAAAACCAAACACCACATGTTCTCACTCATAAGTGGGAATTGAACAATGAGAACACATGGACACGGGGAGGGGAACATCGCACACCAGGGCCTTTTAGGGGTTGGGGGACTAGGGAAAGGATAGAATTAGGAGAAATACCTAATATAGATGACGGGTTGATGGGTGCAGCAAACCACCATGGCATGTATATACCTATGTAACAAACCTGCACATTCTGCACATGTATCCCAGAACTTAAAGTATAATAATTTTTTTAAATGTTTTTAAAAACCCCATCAGATCTTGTGAGACTTGTTCACTACCATGAGAACAGTAGGGGGAAACCACCCTCATGATTCAATTATCTCCCATCGGGTCCCCCCACAACACATAGGAATTATGGGAACTACAATTAAAGATGAGATTTGGGTGGGGACATAACAAAACCATATTATCCACAGCATATGTATACCAGATTATTTAATTTCTACATATTTGTATAGTTTTGAGGGTTTCTGCTGGAATTAGTTTCTAGGTTATTTTCCCACCATGATCTGAGAAGATACTTGATACAACTTTGATTTTTTAAAATGTATTGAGGCCGAGCGCGGTGGCTCAAGCGTGTAATCCCAGCACTTTGGGAGGCTGAGACTGGTGGATCACGAGGTCAAGAGATCGAGACCATCCTGGTCAACATGGTGAAACCCCGTCGCTACTAAAAAAATACAAAAAATTAGCTGGGCATGGTGGCGCGTGCCTGTAATCCCAGCTACTCAGGAGGCTGGGGCAGGAGAATTGCCTGAACCCAGGAGGCGGAGGTTGCGGTGAGTCGAGATCGTGCCATTGCACTACAGCCTGGGTAACAAGAGCAAAACTCCGTCCCCCACCAAATAAAAAAAAAAAAATGTATTGAGACTTGTCTTATGGCCTATCATATGGTCTGTCTTGGACAATATTTCAAGTGCTGATGAGAAGAATGTATATTCTGTCGTTATTGAGTAGAATGTTCTGTAAATATCTGTTGGGCCCATTTGTCTAGGCCCATTTGTTCTAGAGTGCAGCTTAAGTCTAGTGTTGCTTTGTAGACTTTCTGCCTTGATGATCTGCCTAGTGTTGTCAATAAAGTATTGAATTCCTTCATTATTATTTTGTTTTCTCTTTTCTTAGTTCTAGTAGTAATTGCTTTATGAATTTTAAAGCTCTAGAGTTTTGTGCATATATATTTATGATTAAAACTAGAAAAATAGTTTAAGTAACTTAAAATGACAGAAATATTTCAGTATCTGAATGGATCCTACCTCCCCTTCAATTTTGCTTTCAAGGCATTTCTCTTTTTGAAGTTGAGCAGCAGCTAAAACCCTTGCATATCCTTGGTAGGGCTTCAGGCTCTGTGGAATCCTCACAGAGACAGCTGATGCAAGCTTGTCATTTTTCTGTGTTAATGAGAGTTTCTTTTCTTTTTTTTCTTTTTTTTTGGGGGGGGACGGAGTTTCGCTCTTGTT